TCTTAGCCATTTTTAAGTGTGTAGGTCAGGGGTATTGAGCACGTGGCCTGTTGTGCAACCATCACCAGCAGCCCTCGCGAGAACTCTTTCATCTTGCAAAACCGAAACTCTAAGCCCACCAAAGAAAAACTCCGCTCTCCTTTCCCTCTCCCCTCACGCCCTGGCAACCACCGTTCAACGTTCTGTCTCTGAATTTGACTCAGTACCTCACAGGAGTGGAATCATAACAGTATTTTGCCCTTTTGTGACTGACTGACCCCACTTAGCATAATGTCCTCAAGATTCATCCCTGTTGTAAGCGCGTGTCAGAATTCCCTTGGTCAACCTTTTAGGTCAGCCTTGTTAAGGCTGAATGACGTCCCATTGTATGTATATACCACCTTTTGTCTTCCTTTCTTTTAAAATAGAGATTTCTAGAGTGTTTCTTTCTTGAGCCCTAGGGGACTGTAAGCCATTCATAATAATTCTGAAATCCTAACAAATTCGATCTTTACTTGCATTAAGTCTGCCTTGGCCCAGAGAATTCTCAAACCCCCTTCACTATGGGCTATCATTCTAGCCACTTCCGAGTGGATCCGAGCCAGCACATGCTAAGCAGAAGGGCTAAGTGATTAGAACTGGGAAGATGAATTACATTATAACTGCAGTGTTGATGGGGTTTTGGAATATAGGGGAGGTTCAGTGGGGTGGAGTCCGGAGCCCCCGACTAAGAAAGCAGACGTCTTTGGTGCAAAATGGTGGTTTATTAAAGCTTGGGGACAGGACCTGTGGGCAGAAGGAGCTGCTACCCCAGGGTTGTGAGGGGTGGCTGATTATATACTATGGGGTTGGGGGAGATAAGGAAAAGGGAGGTTTCCAAAGAACTTTCATATGCTAAAGAGGACCTACAAGATACCGGAGGCCTTGCCAATGTCAAGTTAAGGTGGTTTACCCCTCTAGTAAGGCATTAACATTAAGATAGTTGGGAACTTCCTGGAGGAACATTACTCTCTGCCCACTTCAAGTATCTGTCGATGGGCTTCTGGTTATAAAGAAATTGAAGCATATCTGCATTTCCTTCTGGAAGCTAGGTTATTGATGATAGGAATGCTTTGTTCTTGTAGATTGCTAAGACATTTGTAAACTGAGGGAGACTCATGTCTTGTAGGATTGTGGGCTCTATAAGTTAACTATTTGTTTTTCCTTTAGCGCAGCCAGGAGTGCCTGAGGAAAGTCACCTATATCCCATGGGGGGGGGCGTGTTGTGGGGTGTCAGCTTCTGCTTTGTCCTCAGCTTGCCTTCTCTTCCCTCATCAGTGTGGCCTGACCCTTTTAAGTCATTGGGGAAAGGGCCCAAGAGTCCCTGAGACTAGGGAGGGACGGAAAGACGAGGCTCCCTGGGTCCGATAGTAGCCCGAACACATTCCAGTAAAGCTGGGTGAGAGATCTGTTCTTGGGAGAGGGGGAATGTGCCAGAGCTTTTTGTTTTCACATCTGTCTAGACTCCGGTTTTTTTTCCCAGGTGCTGAT